TATGCAGGAGGTATTTCTGCCACACCTTCCACCCTCTCAAATTGTGAAGAAAAACTTTAAAAATCTATATAAATTAAGATTTGGTAAAATGAACAAATATTACAGACTCAAATTATAATTGAAACATTATTAGAACTTATTTTATTAATTAATCAATTTCAGACTAGAGAAAAAAATCTTTTTATTAAAAATTATTAATAAGATACAATATCTCTACTGAATCGATATCAAATTAAAACAAAATTTATCTTATGATTTACAGAGAGAGAGATAAAAATTTACATGGCATTTAAAAAATATATTAAATTTTTAATCTGCAAAGTGTCAACTTTTAGTAATTTATAGTAATTAAGTTATAAGAAATGTTATACTCTTTAATTGACACACCTTTGCTATACTTCTAATGTAATTAGATCTCTTTTTGACTCATTCTACATCAGTGGGTCTCAACCACCGTGACACAGCACAATAATGAGCCATGTAATCCTTGTAAGTGTACCGTGAAATATTGTTACAGTATACATATATATATATGTGTGTGTGGAAGTACTAATGGTACAGCATTAATATTTGAATAAATGTATAAATATTAAACATTTTTTCAAATAATTCTTTTCAATTTTGATACCCCCTCACAGTAATATGATTGGCTGGTGTCAGCCATAAATACAGGCTGATGTAGAGGTACATGGACGACGCCTATAATCTTCGCCTATTGCCTATTGCCTACGATGAGGACCAGTCCATTACGGTTACCTGCTAGATTGTCCCACTCAGTTACAGTAGTCCAAAACTACTTTGCTACTTCGAACAAATATATTCCTTTCCAAGACATATCACTAAATAACATCAAAAATAAGAAGTGAGAAAGACTATGCTCACCTGAAAAAGAAATGAGGGTCTGCTTATCGCACATTTGATCAAACATTGATGAAATTGTGAAAAAACACCAGGCACAGGTTTCACACTAAATAAACTCCACAAATAGTTGAATAGAAACATTGAAATAAAGTAAGTTCATATTTATGTGTGTATTTTTTAAAAATCTATGGTTTTACTTTATAACATATAAATGTATACCCTTTCAGAATTATGCTAAGTATGCCATGATATTTTCATTTGCTTTTTGGTGTGCCATTGCTTAAAAATGTGTCTTCAAGGACACATGGCACAGTGGATAAAGGCGTTAGTTAGATCCAGTGACAGACCCAAAGAAGGTGAGTTCAATACCTGGTTAAGGCAGTGGAGAACTTTCAGAGGGAAAATTAGCAGGAGATAACTGATAACTGACATCCATCAAACATGGCACGTGGAACTAGAACAGTCTACCCCAGTGATCGAAATAAAGGGTTCAGTTCGAAATTCCAACCACCTGAAGAAGGCCGGAGCGCATAACGGCCCGAAACGTTGTGACAAATATGGCGACAAAGATGAGGACAATAGTTCGACTAATGTAAATACTGTGCTTAAAAAAGGTTGAGAGAACCTTGTTTTACATGTTGGCCAGATGTAAGCGCTAAGAAAGCAAAACACAAAATAAAAAGTTGTTTTCTGTGCAGAAATTCCAAGCATCACATTCGGTCCACAAAACAAATCCTCTAATAAAATACAATAGCCAATCACAAATGTTCCTACAGAAAAAAAGATGACCCTGGTAGCCATCAGATTTGCTTAAAAAAAAAAAAAGAAAAAAAAGCTCTTTGTAAATGACTCATACAGGAGCAGGTTGAGAGGCCACCTGTTCACATCAGTATGCTGTTGTTGTTATCACCATGATCTCATCTAAGCTTTACTAATCTCATCTTATTCTTCACATGCATAATGTGGCCAACATTCCAGCTTCAACACTGGTGGGCTACCAATGCCACCACCATGATTTCTAACACCTTGACATCTTCATTATCCACTCCAGGCTGCTCTTGTCATCACTATTGTGACCCCATCTCCATTTGATCTCCCATTCGACCAGAACCCAACAGAGACATTCCACTCAATCATGCTTCACGTGTTGTATTGGAAACGTCCACTCTAGACGTTCCTTGCCATCATCATCATTTTGTTGATCTCCCATTCGACTAGAATCCAACAGACATTCCGCTCGATCAAGTTTCACTATCCACTCTAGGTCTCCCTCACCGCCACCACCACAACCTTAGTCAACCAACCCACCACCATGACCTCAATCAATCAACTTGCCAATGAACCTTACTGGGTCTTACCACGGGGAAACAAGCAGTTTGGCTTCACCAACACCTCACTGGTGTTGTTTTCAGCCCTTAAAGAAAGGCATGTGAGGTCAGATGACAACACCCACTTGGCTTTACTAATCCACACCGGGCCTCTCTCCTGACACCAACTGTGACCTTGGCCAACCAACCTAATAAATCGCTTAATTTCCAATCTTACCGACAACACACTTACACCTAATTGCTTCCCTTACCAATGGCAACCAAAGAACTACATATCAACAATTTTGTCACCACTTTGTACAACTATGTGTATATTTCGAAATTTGATAAATAAACACTGTTGAAATTTTAATTCTTGTTTTTGCTTTCCCTTGCAACCATAACACTCTGAAATTGAACATAACATTTTTCTGTTAAATATTTGCTTGGAGCTTGATGTCTACATTTTGGTCAGAACTTTTAGCATAAGCAGAAGACAACATAGCAAGTAGTCAGTCATAAAAAAAATCCTCCATTGTCTAGTCTATTTCCTGTCATACAAAAATGTTGTCTTCAAAGCATGCTTCAGAGACTTGACTGAAAACATAATTTGTAAAACACCTCAACAATTCTGGAATATAAAGTTTTTGTATTTCTGCTTTCTTCTTTTTTATTTGTGAACTTGTTGAATATTTTCACATGGCTAAATTTTTACCCCATCGACCTTCCATAAAATAATGTGTATTTTTCAGTGCACCCACATCACTACTGAATGTGACACAAGGCCAGTTTAAAGTGGGTTTAACTGCAAAACTAGAAAAATTACTCAAGCCCACTTGGCACCTCACCTTTTGGCACCAGGCAATAAACTCAGCCCACACCCAAAGGAGAGGCACTGCCTTGGGGAATAGCTTCCAGCTGAAGATGTCCTTCCACAAAATAATGTATACCTAAATGTATAATTGTTCAGATTACCAAATTTTAATTTATATAGATTTTTAAAGTTTTTCTTCACAACCACTGTAAAATTATTTTAAAATATCTTTAGTCATAATAATAATGATGATATTAGTAATTTTAAAAAAATTCTTTAAAAAAAGAATACATTTTTTTTTATATTGTATGTATTGAAAAAGAAAAAGTTTTAATTTTCTTTTATAAAATATGTACTTGTTAAATTTAAATTTTTAAAACATCAATACTTTGGAAAAAATTAACCAATTATAATGATGATAATAATGATACTATTAAAATAAGTTTCATCTGCTGGAAGACTTTGAAAAAATTTAATATATAATGAATTTGGTTTTTTACTTTTTATATTTATGTTGAATATATAATTATACTAGCAGTATAACCCGTCTTCGACCAGGTCTTTCATTACTGGGAATTTTTGCCGTTCAATTGAAGCAGTTTAAGTTTAAAGTCAGACCACCCGGAAATCAATATTAGTAACAACAATTGGGTGCAACTGAGGCACAAAAAACATTCATCAAAATCAGATGAAAACTGTGGAAACTCATAAACAACATCAGATCACACATGTATACAAACACACATTCTGAGAATTATAGATATAGATATAAGTAATTTACATGCATTATTATTTATCTTTGGGGCAAAAGAATAACTTATATAACCCAAATAAAATAATCTTATTTCAGTTTTAAAATAATTAATTTTATTTTATTCATATTACTTTCTACTATGACTGATAAATGGCGTTTAGAGACTTTAAAAATATTTGTAAAAGAAAAATATTAAAAATATTAATGGTAGAGAAGAAGCAGAGCACTTTTTGTATTTGTAAAGCTAAAAAGCTTAAATCAACAAAAAGCGATTTTCAAAATGGAAATAAATAATTAAATAAGCTTTAAAAAAAGGAAAAATCCTGCTCATTTCAGTGAAAAACCTTTTTACATGACACCGTATAAAAAATATTTTAAAATAAAAAATGGAATGGAAAAAAAATCTGAAAATTATATATATATATATATATATATATATATATATATATATATATATATATATATATAAAGATTTGAATTTCACTCTTGCTTTACAAAAAAAAGCTTCCAGAAAGTTCTACATATGTAAAAACACATCTATATGAGTAGACACGCACACAAAGACACATTTCTATATAAACAGATACATCTGCAAATGCACATGTCTATATACACAAACACACCCACAAACACACACATCTTTATAAACAGAAACACCCACATCTGTATGAACAGAAACACCCACAAACCCACATAAACAGATACACCTACAAACACACACATCTATACAGCCACAAATGTGCATTTTTATTTAAACTGACACATCCACAAACCCACACAGACACACTCACAGGCACATCTATATGAATAGACACACTCGCAAATGCATACGGCTGTATAAACAGACACATTGACAAACACATGTGTTCATGTATATTATTGGCCCCTTTCAAGGTTAACCAATGGGGGTTAAGAACTTTTTGCTGCTATTGCCTGGGTAAGTAAGGTAGTTATGGGAGAGTGGTTTGCTTGCCCAAATGCTCATTGACTCACTCTCTTCTCCATCCACCATTGTGGCATGCCAGGGATGAGACATTCGTTGAGATATCTGGCCATGGGACAGAGCACAGGGAGAAGTGGATTCATGCCTTTCTCAAAGGCATTAGTGCGAAGTGAACATAAGCCACCTCAGGTGAAAATTGAATTTGGTTTGCTGATTCCATTTTTGCTGCTCGTAACTATTTTGCTACCTGGCACTTCTTTCATACATCTGTACACTGTCATTTTCTCAAAGTGGAAGGGGTGGGTAAATCGAGGCAACATCTCACAGCTGCCACAGGTAACTTGTGACAGACGGGAACTCATGGATAGGCTTGCTAGAAATGTCTTCTTTATTGTCTTCAACTTTTGGCGAAACTGGTGAGGAAGTGTCAGTCACTTCACCATCAGTTTGATTATGAATAGCAGTGAGGGTGTTGTGCTCTACCTGTTTGTGTTGACGCATTTTTTCATACTGACTAAATTTCTTATCGCACAGGTCACAAGGAAACTGGGACGGCTCAGCATGCGTCCGCCGGTGGATCTGCAACGTGTCCCTCCGTGCAAACTTCTGTCCGCAGTGATCGCAGTAGAACGGCTTCTCCCCGCTATGAGTCCGTGCGTGCATGACAAGGTAGTTGCGCTGGGCAAAACGTCTTGAACACACCTCGCACTTGTATGGCTTTTCACCAGTGTGGATCCTGCGGTGGAGTTGGAGCGTATTCTGCTGTGAGAACCGTTTGGGACAGAATTCGCAAGCAAAGGGTCTTTCCCCTGAGTGGATTCGTTGATGGATTTGCAGTTTGTCCTTCTGAGCAAATCTCTGGCCACAGACATTACACTCATACGGTCGTTCCCCTGTATGTGTGCGTATATGGATTTGCAATGTGTCCCTTCTTGCAAATTGTTTTGGGCAAAAGTCACAGTGGTATGGTCTTTCACCAGTATGCGTGCGCTGATGAATTTGTAAATAATACCTTTGGGCAAACTGCTTATGGCATTGGTCACACTCAAATGGCTTTTCGCCTGAGTGGGATCGCTTGTGGATGTGCAAGTAATATCGCTGGGCAAACTGCTTGTGGCAGATGTCACACTGGTGTGGCTTATACCGCATATGTGTCCGCACATGCGTCTGCAGCTTGCCACTTTGTGCAAACTGCTTATGGCAAAAGTTGCACTGAAATGGCCGCTCACCCGTGTGTATCCGCCGATGGACCTGCAGTGTGTCACGGCGAGCAAATTTCTGAATGCACATATCACACTGGAAGGGTTTTTCTCCGGTGTGAGTGCGCTTGTGCACCTGCAGGTAATCCTTTTGGGTGAACTGTTCATGGCACACATCGCACTCGTACTGTTTCCTGCCTGCGTGTATCTTCTGGTGCACATGCAAGTAGTTCCTCTGGGCGAACTGCTTGAAACAGACGCCGCACTGGTAGGGCTTCTCCCTAGTATGTGTGCGCTCATGAATCTGCAGGTAGTGTCTTTGAGCAAACTGCTTGAGGCAGATGCCACACTGGTATGGTTTTTCACCAGTGTGTGACCTCCGGTGGATCTGTAATGTATCTCGGCGTACAAAGCGTTTTGGGCACAAATCGCAGTGAAATGGTTTCTCTCCGGTATGTGTCCGGTTGTGAATTTGGAGGTAGTACCTCTGAGCAAAATGCTTGAGGCAAATGCTACACTGGAAGGTCTGACCTTGTGAGGATCTTGGTTTTCGGTAGTACTGCAGTTTGGTAGTGGAGGCACTCAGTGCGGATTTTTGGCACGACAATTCGTCATCACTGCTGTCGTTAAGCTGAAATGGCTTGTTGTCTACTGGGGATTCTGGCGAGTCCGAGTTACAGGAGTGTGGTGTAGGACATCTGTTATAATAGGGCACACTGAAATTTGGTTTCTCATCTGCATCTTCCACGTCCAAGTTCAAATGATGGTTATCTTTTGAGAAGCCCTCTTTGTCACTGTTGGTCACCATTTCATAAGCTGGTTTCTCATTAAGGTTTATAAGATTTGGACTTGGTATGTTCTCACACTGTGACTGGTTTAATCTGCAATTATCAGTGTCTTGCTGTGGCTTCTCGGGGCTAGCAACGTTGTCAGGTCTGGAGGGATAACTGATTGCATCATTCTCATTGGCCTGGAATGGCCTCACTATGTTTGTTGGAATATGTGGAGTTATCTGAAGTTGCATGTGTCCCCCTGTACTGGGCGGTCGATTGCCTTTGTATGTCTCATTTGCCAGAAGTGGCTTTCCATTTGGAATCTGGGCCCCACTTCCTGATCCTGTGCTGACAGAGTTTGGATTGGTTTCTCTCCTGAATGCATTTCTTTGGGCAGATTCTTGACATTTTGATAATGGGATCTGTGGTATTGGTCTTTGAGAAAAACTCCTGTTATTGTATGCCGTGTGATGGCTTAATTTTTCATTCACATGCAGTGACCTATGAGACAGCATTTGAGCCTGGGGATACGAGTGAGAATGAGTGGGAATATTTGGTCTGGAACTCAATTCTTTGTTGCTGTTATTTACGACATTCTCCACAGACTTCTCTTGGTTTGGTAATACTTGATGAAATGTTGTCTGGGAGTGCTGCTCCTGGAAGGAATCTTTGTAACAGATCTCATTGTGATTAGTTCTTGGAGCCACTTTTATCATTTGAGAGTGTGAATTAAAGCGTTGTATGTACTCTTTACTGTAAGTATTGTGAAATGTGCTGTTGTTTGGAGTATGTATACTGGAAGTTTGTGATCCAGGTTTCAGCGAAAAGTCTTTTGTGTAAATATTGTTAATGACTGCTTTCTCACTCACACTTGAGGATTTCGACACCGGCATACCCAGCCTTTGCATATACTCCTTATTGTATAACTCTTGCTGGTACAACTTGTTGTTCCACTGTGCCATTTTCCAAGTGGGACGAGGAGTACGGTTTCTGTCACAATTGTCGCCTTTGTAGAATTTTTCACCTGACAAAGTGTGAGTTTTTGACGATTGTGAAACTGTGGTTCGATGTGCATACTCCTTCTGACATCGGTCACTGAATGCTGCTTTGTCACTCAGGTGTGAATTAATCCTATGGCTAGACATGGAGTTTGAGTGTCGTTGCAGATACTCTTTGCTGTAAATATCACTGTTCAGCATTGCCTTCTCAAGAGAAGGTGTCATCCGCTGAGTAAGCATTGAGTGTAAGTCTTTTGCATACAGCTCAGGGTGGAATGTCTTCTCAACCAAGTGGGAAGCAATATGCAGATTTGGGTGTGGCATGAAGTCTTTGAGATATATATCAGCATAGAATGCAGGCTGAAACTGTGCTGAATGCCTCTGCAGGAACTCCTTACTGTAGATATCTGATGGAAATGGGGATTTTTCAAGCAAATGTGGGAATTTTTGCATTTGGATAGAGTGTCTTTGTGGGCAATCTTTGCCACAGATTTCTGTACAGAGGTTCTTTTGGCCAACATAAGGATCCATGATGGATGACACATTCAGTGGTACTAAAAGTATCTCAAAAACTAGAAGAGTTCCAATAACTCTTTTTTTGCTTCTTATTTGTAATTTTTTGTTTTTCTCAAGTAATTTTGATGATTGAGATCCTTTTGTGTATCTTGTCAGAGTCTGGAAAAAAATAATTAAAAATGTTAATTTTAGGATTAATTTTTTTTTTTATCTGGTTTTACATTTCAAATAAACTTAAATTTTATTTACATGTAGACTATGGTCCTCCTCTTTGTCATTAAAGCGTTTTAGCCATTGTACTATCTGGCCTTCATCAGGTGAAAGTTGACCCAAATTGACCTGATAGCAATGACAAAAGTGAAGAACTGAACCCTTTATTTAATCTAAAGGGCATGGTGTGCTTGACTAAAAGCTAAGTCATAGTGCAACCCTTTGCACAGAACTGGAAGCCTATTTCAAATCTCAAAGCTGCTGTAGTTGGCTTAAGAAATTTTTGCTTTTTACATTTGGAATAACTTATTTAATTAAAGTATGAAATTAATTTATTTTATTTCCATCAGATTTACATGTTTTCATTACAAAAATAAATTTTTTTTGTGCAAAATTCACAAGAAAATGGAAACTTGGTCTTGCTGTTTGGAAGTTAATTTAACATTTTTCTTCTAAAGTTAATTTCATATTCTTCTCTATAAGCAAATACACTAATTATAAACTTTATTTTGTGCAATCTGTATTTTTTTTCTAACAAAAGGAAAAAAGAATGATGCATTAATTAGTAAGACTTGTATCACTAAATCATTATAATCTCAAAAATAAAATTCTTAAAATCTCAAGTCTTTTCTGGTTTAAAATAACTTGCAAAAGGTTAATGAGCCATAGAAAACAATCAATGCATGTTGACTTTTTATCATACTTGTTATACCAAAATGACATTTGAATTTTACATGATTTAAAGAAATAATTTACTAATCCTATTTTTCTAATCTTATTACAAATGTTACAAAGTCTCTCCCAAGAAAGTTAATTTTAATGTTTTATTAAATTTAATTTTTAACAGAATTTTTTTCTGAAAATTTTTTCTTCAATCCTTGTTTCTTACACTGCAAAAATTATTTTAAAATGCTATTGTTACATAAAGTTAATTTATTATTTTTCTCTATGATATTGTTATTTATTACAACAAATATCTTGATGATAAAATTTAATTTTTATGAGTAATTTTTTTTTTCTAAAAGGTATTTTAAAAAAGCATGTTAAATTTTAGTTTAATTAAAAAAAGACACATAAAGTAGGAGCAAATGTGATATTTTATACTACAAATTTAATGAAAAAAATCATTTCTTAGGAATGTTGTTATGTAAAGTTAATGTCATAATTAAATTCAATAAATTTAATATGATATTTTTTAGATATTGTAAAGGAGGTGTGCAAAATATTAATCCTATCTCTGCTGCTAAACCATGCATTCTTCAGAGACATTTTTACTTCTATAACCATAAAATGTTTATCTATGATAAAATAAGTCAGCATAAAAATAGTTACTTTATTTCTAAACAATAAAAATTACTTTCATGTTTATTTTGTTTCCTGCTATGTTTGTTCCAGAATTCAGTTAGTACCAATAGGGTTTTTTGTTTCATTAAAACTGTTTTAATATCAGTCAATCAGTTATGTGCCATGCGTGATACATGCTTAGGCGATCATATATCTTTCAATACATGACTGACAAGGCAGATTTTTTCCCGCAGTAGGTTGCCATTTCTTTCTGCGGTAGACCACTTGCCATCCAAGGCTATAGAACCTGGTCTGTCTTGCTATTTACTTATAGCTGGGAGGAGAGGATTCATACCTTTCCCAAGGGTATTAGCACATAAGTAATGGATTTGACTGGAATTCCATTATATTCACTTACATGTTAATACCCTTGGGAAAGGTATGAATCCTCTTCTTTTTAATGTAGATAATTCAAAGATTAAAATGCATATAACATTTTGTACATAATACGCTTGTTAACAAGGTGGGAAGTGATGGATCTGAAGCTCTGCCAAATTATATATTAATTGTAATAAGCCATTAATAAAAATAAAGTATCCCAAAATAAAGAGGATTAACTTTCTGAGCCAAATTAATTAGACTCTTAATCTCTACTTTTTTCTTTGAATTTCCTAAGCCAACTAGAGTAGCAAACTACCACAAACCCAGGCCCAAACAAAAAATCTTCACTCATTGTGGAACCACAAGATTTGAGATAGGACTCCAGTTCTGTGCAAGTGGTACACTATGAGTTGGACTTTAGTAAAGCACACCTTCTTTCAGAGGTAGATTGTTCTCATTCCACTGCATTTGTCCATAAATTTGGTGACATAGTAATTACAAGTTCAATCCCTGGACCAGATAGTGCGTACTCGGATTCAGTGGAAACAGGGTGAGCAATAACTGGGCAGTACTAAATAAAAATGAGACAAGATATCCATTGACATGTGCAGTGGAATGAGAACAGTCTACTGCCAGTTGTAGTCTCCTACAACAAAGATGGAGACAAACTGTTTGGATGTAAATAATGAAAATAATTGTTATCTACATTTGGCAAATGCCCACTCACACACAAAATAATTACTTAAACAAGAAATAATAAAAAAAACAGAATACACCTATATTTTGAAAACTTAGAAAACCCCAGAATATTCTGTAATATTATTAGCCTAATTTTAAGTTATCTCTGACCCCAGAAATGACTTTGTTACATCATCTTTTGACATTCAGAGCTGAAAGATAAAGAAAAGAAAAAACGATAGAGTATTAGAAAATTATGAAAAGAAGAAATAACCACAACATCCTACACAAGTGCACATGTACAGACATACACACGCACACATCCACAGGTATGTGCACTCAAGCATGCACACACACACATAAACAGGCATGTGCACTCAAGCATGCACACACATGCATACAAAGAAGAAAAATCAACCTAACACCAATAAAAAAGTGCATAAATCTGTTTAACTTAATATAAAAATAACAAAAACAAAAAAAAATTGACAGACATTTGCTGATATCTCCTGACTAGTGGACTGAAAATTTACACAAAGGTTCATCTACAAAACTCCAAAGTAGAGGTGCTAAATTTAACACCAATCAGCTTCATGACAAATTATATATATATATATATATATATATATATATATATATATTAAGAAATGGACAAAGTCCGACAATTTATTTAATAAAGACATTTTTATGTTTAACGTTCTTTTATAGATACAAGTATTTAAGTAACCGCTCTGTTTACGCTAAACAGTATTAAATAACATTTACGGCAGAATAAATGAAGGTTTCATAGATGCAGGTTTGAATCCTTTGAAGGACGAATATTTTCTATGAAAAATTTCATCGGACATTCAGGCGGTAAATGTTATTTAATACTGTTTATTATAAACAGAGCATTTACTTAAATACTTGTATCTATAAAAAAGAACGTTAAACATAAAATGTCTTTAATAAATAATATATATATATATATATATATATTTGTGTATCCTTAAAGAAGGTTACAAACAGACAAAGGTGGTACTCGAGTGAAAGGAACAGCAACAAGAGTGTAGATGAAAGAAAGAGAGGTTTATTGTAAAAGAGAATACACTACTGAAAGACAGGAAATCAGTTGGCAGGCTAGTAATTCCTGAAGCAAATCGCCAGGTATATCCTGTGCTCACTATATATATCTACTGATATAGTCAGTCCACATAGGCAATAGGGACTGTGGGACATTCAATTACAGACATATCTTCATTCAAACATGTTTCATTGAAAAATATAGATATATTGTCTACTTTTCTTTTTTTTTTTATTAATCCTTTCCAGTTTTCTAATCAGTTTTTTGCTGTTAAGATGAAATTCATCAAGGAAAGTGCTATAGTTTTTGTTAAACCAAGTACTTTTGATCTTTTCCAAGAACATCTTCAAGTATAAATTACAAAAACAAACTTATTATAAATGCGATTGTAATGGTGCCTTACTTGATGAATTTCATCTTAACATCAAGAAAATGATTAGACAAATGGAAAGGATCAGTATAAAAATAAGTAGACACACTACGCCTAAATTATTCAATGAAATTATATATATATATATATATATATATATATATATATATATATATATATATATATATACACTAAAGAATCAAAATATGTCATAATATGACAAATATGGCGTACTGATTTAAACAGGAGGTATGATGGAGTAATGGCTAGCGGCTCGGATTGAGGAGTCAGATAGCCAAGTTTGAATTCCAGTCAAATCCATTACATTTACTTACATGCTAATACCCTTGGGAAAGGTATGAATCCTCCTCTTCTCCCACCACAACTATGAGTAAATAGCAAGACACACCAGGTTCTATAGCCTTGGATAGCAACTGGCCTACTACAAAAAGTAATGGCAACCTACTGAGGGAATAAATCTGTTTTGTCAGTCATGAATCAAAAAATACATGATCGCCTAAGAGTGTATCATGCATATAACTGACTGATTTAAACAGAAATATTTTGTAAAAATGCTTGATTCCATTGGTAAGGTTGAATTAAAAAGAATAAAAACTTGTAATTCCAACAAATAATTTATTGTTAAGACAGATATATTTCAGAAAGCTTTTTGCAATCCTTGATCACTCTTGAGAAATAAATGAAACAGTGACTAAGTTACATTATATACGTTATAAAATCAAATTAACAAAAAAAAAATTGATCGAATTGAGTTCACGAGACATGCATTAGCTGAAAGCATGAGAAATTGCTTAAAGAAAGAAAGAAATCTCATTTTCAAACCAGGGTAGAAAAAAAATACTTCTAGTTTTTTCATATTTTTCCATTGAAGTAGGGAAGTCTATGCTGGGTGAAATTGTGCTGCATCTATTTTATTACAAAAATTTTCGGTACTTGCTATTATCATTTGTTCAGCTACCCATCTTAATATTTTAACAAGTTACATATAACAAGCTGACTAAGAATACAATTGTCAGTTACAGCAACAAGCT